GGCTTGGCAGAAGTTTATGAGAAACTGTAAACCAAACCCTTATAAAATACACTACTCCCTACAATGCAACATTTACAACACTACCAATCATTACATCAGCCTGAACATACATTTATACAACAAACAGACAAAACTAATTTGGCCTAACCTGCTGAAGGAAAAACAATGAGAAATGAAATCTCCTATTTTGGACCTTGAAAAATATATTCAGATTGTCTAGAAAAATTAGACTTGGCTGAAGTTAAGGCACTATCTTCTGCTCTGGAGCCATGGGACTTAAAGCTTTCTATATAACCCTCAACAGTGAGGATTACTGTGCCTCCGTTTCCCTATTGTGAAAGAAGGAAAGTGACAGCAGCCTGTTTCCCCCGTGGGAAGGAATGCCTGAGGGGTCTCATTCACAGTGATGGGAAGATGAGGAGAGGCACATGTGAGACAGATGTAGGCAGAGAAAATCTGGTAGTTTCCAGCTTGGTCATCACTCCTAAAGACGTTCAACCTTGGACAACAAGGACATCAAAGCTCCAGCAAGTGCTCAGGTACAGGCAGGACAGCCATGAGGCTAAGCTGAGTCTCAAGGGCAGCCAGAGTTTGCAGGTCACTTGAATGAGCTGTAGCTATGCAGGGAGAGCTCTGCAGATGTACTGAAAGCCAGCACCTGCATGCGTCTGTCCCTCAGGCAGTCTTCAAGGTAAATTTTAATTAAAGGTGTGGGTAACAGAAAGGAACACCACGGCTGAAAAATGCTCGTGACCTCTTAGTCAAGAGTTACATGCTATTTCAGGATGAGCACGACATGATGCAATTTCAAAAGTACGGGCAGGTACCGCCTCTTGGCCTCATGAACAAAAAGGGGGTATATCACACCCATCACCAAAATACACCCTCCCTCTTGTCCCCAAGTACTGCCAACAACCCACACCACAAAGCAAGCCACTTCCTTTTACGCCCAGAACCAGGTGGTGGTCGGATGTCAGGTAGGAAGAATGTCTGTCTCCGACAGCACCACAGCCCAAGCTGCCTCCATGTGCTCTCTGATGGCACGGATACAACGTGCTGCTGAGCTTTGCTTTCTCTTGTGCAGAAGGAAAAACCACGACAAACAAAACAGGAAAATGCAGTCCTTCAGAGTTAACTATTTGGGGTAAAAAAAAAAGGCAGTCTGAAAAAGGGTGTTTACAAAATGAAGGGCTATAATGCGGTTTCCTCTAAATACTCAGAAACATAAATGTAAATATTTTAAAATTTAGACATGAATAGTATGATATATAAAGTTACTTTAAAATGTAGTTACATCACCTACATTTGCTGGATTCTGCTTTGTCATGACAGGAGTTTTGAGAAATGAGGATATAATAATTTGCTTTTCGGGTTGGCACCTCTGCCTCAAACATGTCACCTTCACTTGCGCTGGGGCGTCTTAAAGCAGCCACAGCCCTTCTGAAGGCCCACGCACCGAGGCACGCGGCAGTCGCTGTGCAGCCGCCCACTGACAGGTGTGTGTGTATGCCCCACATTTCCCGGTGTCGTTGCACAGAGATGGGAGCTTGAAGCAGCCAGCCTGCAGGTTCTGCTCCCCAGGAAGGGTACTGGGCACGGGCAGGAGAAGAGACAAACCCACAGCTATTGACAAGAAGGCTCCACAGCCAGATGTGGGAAACAAGGGATATGAAATCCTGCAGCAGGTGTCATTTACAGCAGTCTGGTTTCTGCTTAGGTGTGAGGAGTGGGTTATGTTCTACCTGGACCACCTGGCGACTCAATACCAAAGATACTGAGCTATGCATGGCAAAAGCATCTAAAAGGCCTTATTTGTACAACAGAACCAACCCCAGATCTTAAACAAACCAACAAAAACCAGAAGAGTGAGCAATTACTTAAGTACTCATGTGGTATTGGCAACTAATTTTAGTCAGAAATTGTGACTTTTGAGCAGAAATGTGTAAAAAAGTTGACCCAGTAACTGCTGCAACAGGAACGCTGTGGAATTCCCCCCACAAACCCGTGGCAGAGTAATGGCACAAACTCCTTCTCCTAAAGGACCAGCTCCTATCTTCTGATTTGCATATATTTGCATGAACAGAAGTTTTTTCCAGTACTTGTAGCAGCAGCCACAAAAACAACCAGGAAAGCAAACACAGGAATTCCCCAGAATGACTGAGCGTCCCCCCTTGAAACAAAGAGCATGTCTCTCAGGATTTGGAGTGCACCCTGTGTGTATTAAAAGCAGTCAGCTGGAAGACACCAACAACTTGCCCTCACTTGATCTGACCCAAGTAAAAGCTACCACAATTCCTGAGTGAGGAAAACACTTCGATGGATACTTTGCTCAAATGATTAGCTAACAGCACACCCCCTCCCTGCCCAGAGAGAGGCTCCACGGAGAACCCAAGCCTCCTCTGGCAGAGGGCTTTGCTTCAGAGCTGCTGAGCAGAGCCGGGTTGGCACTAACCGGTGCACGAGCTACCAGCACCTCCTCCTCCCTTCATGCAGTGTCACACTGAGGATGTACTTACACACAAAGGGATTTTAAACTCTTTGGAAGGCTTCAAGATGAAGCAAACATTGTCAGTGTGAGATCACCCATATAAGGTGAAAAAACTTAATTAAAACTCAAGTGAGCACTTCAAACAGAAGTGCTTTAATAGCAGAGAATATTGGGAGTTTGGCATTAAGAAAGCATCCCCCTGCTTTTCACTGCATTTTCTCCTCCTTCCTCCCTCACAGTCAGGTTAGGACTAAGGCATACATATATTTACACACACACAAAAATATATATGTATGAATATACACACACACTAAATTTGAACTACCAGCTACTGCTGCATGAGAAATGAGTAATTCATATATATAAACACTGTAAATTTCTCAAGTATTTCTGGCTCCAGTATACACAGTTTAAATGCAGTTGGGAAGCTGAAGAGGCAGCAAGAAATATGAGTGAGTCAGTGTAAAAGAACTACAAATTGCTTGGCTCTTCATCTGCAGTTGAAGTACGAGTGCCCCATAAAAGGATCTTTTCAATTTCCTTTTGCATGCACTTCTGTGGGAGGGGAGGGGGGGAAAAAAAAAAATCAGTATTTGCAGAAATTGATTCAAATGCAATTACAGCTTCTATTCCTAAAGGATAGAAAATTTATGAAGTTATTCTTGAGCTCATCTCTTCAGATATTAAACTGCTTTATGCTCTAAAAGGGACTAGAATAGTAAATTAAAAGTTCAGTGACAAACATGAAAAAGACAGAAATAAATGAGATATCTGTCTTACAAATAAAACTAACCTATATACACCCCTGTGAGCTCTCTTATTTAAAATATTTTAGGAATCTTTGATTGTATATATTTAATAACAGTTTTATATCTATGTATTTTATATATAGAGATACATAATAAATATGATATATAGATAAGACAGGTAATAGGTATATAAGATAGACCTATGTATCTATGTTTGTGTGTGTGTACATATACATATGATGGAAAAAAAAAAAAGCAAATTTGTCTCAATTAGAGCAGGGTCTGACCTCATTTCTTACTCTAAAATAACATATTCCCATCAAAATCTAAGCTAAATATGTAGAAGTGACACAGCAACACTCCAAAGGCTGGTTCACAAATCCCACTGAAAGGGTTGTAAACTGTAACACTTTGACAGCTGTTGGAAGTACCAGATAGGAATAAGCCTGAAGGTGTCAAGGTGGAAGATGCAGTGGTGCTTGATGCAGGTTTCTTGCATCAAACAGTTTTGACCATCCACTCCCATTTGTGGAAGAAAACAGGAAATTACAATGGGGAAATATTTATTTCAATTAAACTTATTCCATTATTCACAAAGAACTCTTTGCTGCAACACTTACTAATGCTTTGTCAGGAAAGATTTAGACGCCCACCATGACATGGTTTCTAATTTTTCATTGTCTTCATGCGATCTCTCTGCACCAAATTACAGCAATTTAATCTCTGTCCTTCATCTCTATATTGTTCCTGAACTTGCTTCCATCTGGACTTTTTAAAAGTCCAAACGTAATGCAATTCACAACTATTAACTTTCTGCATTATTCACTTAATTCGGTCCCTCTTTACTTTCTCCTTGAAACCAACTGTAATCTGCCCCAAATTTTGGATTTTGTATCTTATTTGTAAAAGATGCAGTATCACCACCTAAGTGGAAACACTGCATTAGCACAGTATGAAGTCTAGGGAGCTCTAACAGAATTTGAATGTAGAGCTTAGTTTTATGAAGAAAGCTATCTTAAAGAGTTGTTTGAATTCAGTTACAAGGACGTAAAGTACTCTGACCTCACAACTGCTGTCAAATGCTCAAGAGAGTGATATGAAAAGGTTTAGACAGCACCAGAACACGCAGTTACAACACAGTTGTAACCCGTATTTGGCTCAGCACTAGCCTTCATGCACAGGGGATGTTAAAGGGTAAAGACAAGAGTGGTATTTTCCCATCCGCCACTGTCTTGCAAAGGAAACCTACATACTCCACCTTAACAGATGTGTATTAATGAACCTGTCAAAGGCTAGACATTAAAACAGATTTTCTTTTATATCACATTTAGAAAGTAATTGTCAGCAGAAAAATATTCTTACAGTAATAATGATGCCCAGCTAATGCCTATTATGAAGACATTTCAAGTCCTCCAACAGTTATGTTGGCCGAGTATCTGCTGCAGTACCCCAACTGCACACGAAGCATCTTAAGAGTACAGTATTTATCATTTAGTTGTCAAGAAGCATGTATTTAAGCATTTTTGTTATAAATACAGAAATACTTCTAATTGGAAAAAAGATGACAGCAGAGTAACTATATTAACAATAAGCTTTTCTGTAGAAAGTTAAAAATAAAAGAGTAGAACACCGATGTTTTCAACCATTCTAGCTGCAATTTCACTTATAAGGAGCACTTCCTCACGCTGAGATCTTTTAGACAGATTTTTGGCATCTTTAATAAGATGATAATAACAACTTGAAGGGTAGAAAGTCACTCGTACCTTCCATCTGCATAGTCTGCATCTGCACCTCCCCACCAGACATCTGAATCATCATCTTCGGCATCAGCTGAATCAAGATTGTCGCTTTCCTCTGCTAATGGGCAGCAAACAAACTCCACACCACGAAACTTGTCGATTCCACAGGGCAGCAGCATGCCATAGTCGTGTAGATTCATACTCTTCTCACTACATGACTACAGATAATAGAAAGAGAACAGCAACAACACTGTCATGAAGGAGGCTGGAAAAAATGTCACAGACCTCGAGAAAATCTAAGGGGCTGCATGCTGCCTTAGGATGTTGAAGCTGGTGAACTGCATGATCTCTGAATTTTGAAACACAATTTAGAGTGCTCACTACCTGTGCCTTCACTACCTGCACTGCAGGTAGCTCCCTACCTGTGTCTGCATGACCACTGTAAGCAACAAGCTCTCCCCTCCTCTGCCCTTTAGTCTTTTTCAGTATAGAAAGACTTGTCTCCTCCCACATACTTGACAATTCTCTATCTTCTTGCCTAAAATCCTCACAGGTTCTGCCTCATAAACAGAAAACCTGAAGACAGAACGATAATCGATGCATTAATCCTGATCCCCATGTTTTAATGCTATTAAAGAGTTCGTTGCAAGACAGATTAACGTTTAAAATATCTGAGGTACTGGAACCACACTGTATCTGGTCTGACACGACTGCCAGTACAGTACCTTCTAGCCTTGTTTGGAAAACAGTCATGCATAATTATACCTTCAAGACACAGTGATGTAGGACAGAAAGATACAGTGATGCAGGAAAAGTGAAAAAAGGAAAATAGTTCAATGGGGCACAGTGATGTTCTCCTAGGCTATGCCATTCCAAGTTTGCAAGTACTTAAAATGGACTAGAATATGCCTGCATGAAGGTTGGTGCTTTAAATGCTTCATTTGGGGGGCAACAGTATGATTCAAGCAAGAACAGAAAATTTGAAAAGCTGCTAAGCACATTTCCATTTTGATCTCCAGAAGGTGGGATAACATATAAACTCAGAGGTTCCACACAAGATAGCAGACAGAAATCTTCTTGAAGCTTACCTCAGTTTTTATTCCTACAACCCCTCTACGTAAGGACAAAGGTGTCCAAAAGGCATCAGCAATTATAACGGTAGACTTATTTCTGTTTTCTGTAAAGCACTGGTAGATTGTAAAAACTCTGTGCTTGACTTAAATGTCTTATCATCTCTCCCACCTTTTTATGCTAAATTTCACATAATGCATTCTCTGAAGCATGTTTGATCTCTGTGAAGCACCTAGCATACCAATATCCATATTGAGGACAATGATAAAGGCAAAGCCTAGGCATTAGTGATCAATCTTTAGTTCCAGAGGAGCACTAACGCAGGAGGCCAGAGGAGGCAGAAAACATGGTGGTTATGTGAGTCAATGTGGGGTGGAAAGCAGTGCTGTGAAACAGGGTCAATATTCAAAGGTCAACATTAAATATCCAGTATCAGACTCTGATGTGCCCAGCAGAGTGACTCCTATTTCCTACCTTATAAAGCAGAACAAAAAGCCATTCACTCACGCTTTTTGTTTTCCAAGTCACTGCTATATTTAAACATCCTCAGAAGACTGACACAACTTCAAAGAAGGAACACAGGAAATTTTGACAGATGAATATACCTCTTTAGCAACAGTATGCCAGTGCAGATGAGTTTCACACACATCCATCCTTTCCTGGTGAAGGAACTTGCATTTGTCTGGTACCAGAAGGGCATCACTCACAAACTCGCCCACTGAAAGGAAAAAAAAAAAAAAGCAGCAAAATTGTTAGATGTTAGGTTTGCTTCCAGTACTGCACCCTTTTAAACTTTTAGCTTGGCATAGGGCAACTTTTGTGAATGAGTGGCAGGCTCTGTTTGCAAAGAATGGAATAATTTCTAAATGGTGCCTCCAATATCATCTTCTTTAAACTTTCAGTCTGAAAGTAGCTCCTGTCTTTGTTCTCAGAGATTTATTAGATTACAAAAACTTTAGTGCAATATTCTAACTTCCATATACCCAGTGTGAAACTTGCAAGAACCATCGAAGACGCATGTAGTGCAACACAAAGTCAGGAGCTCGTGGATCCAGTTCCTGGAAGGGGAATGAAGGGAAGAACACTTACATTTTGCACTTGCACAGCAGGAGAGAGAGGGTTTGAAGTGTTTTGAAATACTTAGTTTTTCCACACAAAACAAATTGACACCAACACATTGTTTCAAACAATTTGAGAGTATTTCTGCTGAATTACAGCACTAACTGCAACACAGTCCACAGTTATTTTTGCTGACGCAGCCTCATTTCACCAGCCAGATGAATTTGGGTTAGCCCAGAAGGTTGATGAGCAGCAACTAGAGCTCATCAGCCAGCAAACAAGATGATTCATGGATCACCTAAGTATCTGGTCAGATGGAAGTGGGGAAAAAAGGCTTTTAACCAAGGACATAAGTGACCAAAGAGACTGCACTGCCTTCAGCAGTAAGACAAAAATTTACATGTTAATGAAACAAACAATGCTCACAGCTTCAGTACTAATTAATAAGAAGAAACTCAGCTGACATGATTAGACTAAAATCACTGTAATGCTGTGCAATTCTGACATTTCAATTAAATAATCCCCAAACCCCCCGATATTTTTTTTAAAAGAAAAATTACAGAATATTTTTGAGAAGTCGATAACACTGAACAGACAGCGGATTGTGAAAGCACATGATTCAGCTGGCATAAATCTTCAGCTCCCTTAAGCGCATTGTCTGAAACCTCCAAAAAACTACAACTTGCACGTGTTAAATGAACAAACCAAGGTAGCCCAGTGGCTGCACGGATGTAAAAACATGTTAATTAATCAACGTGAGATGACTAGAAGTTTACTGTCCAGTAGAGGGTCATCTCAGGGAGCTGAAGTGGCCCTTGAGTATTACAATTAAAAAGCCAGTTTTGAAAATAATCAACACCCAATGCATTTGGGGGAAAGCAGAGTTCAGCAAATAGATGTATATACCTTTGCTAATCACCAAGATGTGTATTTCACATGAATTTCCTTGCTATTTTTCAGTGCTTTTGACCTGAAGCCTTTAAAAGCCAGTCAGTTTACTAGAAAAAAAAAGGATTTTGTTGTCTTTATCCTTCAGTGATATACTCTAATGCCTGCAAACTGTTAACAGAAATGCCTTCTAGAGGTGTCCAAAATAAAACTGCAAAAGTAAGCCTTTAAAACACTTTCTGGTAACCCAAAACACAAAATCTGCAGCTTCTGTTAACAGTCTCTGCTCCCAGTAGCATCACTCTCAAATCCTGCACTGAAATTTGAATATATTTGTGCCTTGTCCTTAGCTGTACCTGCCTTTGTAGGGGACCATCCTGGCACCTACCCACAGTCCCTCATTTCATAAGTAAATGCTAATGCTTCAATTTAGCAAGTACCCCAACATAATGCAAACATACGGGTGTTTTGCTGAAGACTCACAGCATATGTCGACTTTGCTCTGCTAAGACATATGACTTCATACAGAACTGCAGTTATACTTCGCTGGCTGTTCAAACATGCAAAACATTCAGAGTAGTCTTTATGGCAAACATTTCTATAAAAATGAAAAAAAAAAATCCTGGAGTGCATTTTACTCTGTCAAACTAGATCCAATTTCAGAAGCAATGCACACAAGTACGGGTGCAAGCTTGCGTCATCTGACTGCTGATTTGCACAGGCACATGAATTCAAATACAAATATACCCGATAAACCCTGCATGAAGCTATTTCATTCACCTTAACAGCCTATAATATAATCAGAATATTGTGTGCACAAAGTTCAAAGGCAATTAATGGTACACCTTGCTGCTCAAAAAAATAAGCCTACATCATTTCAGCAAAAGTAACGGATACGATGTACCACTGAGTTACAGCCACCAAACGTAAGACGGAAAGCTATACATCCACAGCTCTGGGCAATGCAGCCTGGGCTGCAGTGTCATTAACAGTATGCATGAATATGCAATTAAAGTAAAAAAACCCTAATATTAAAGTGTCTGATTGTATCAACTAACTCATATCAATACATTAAAGAAATACTAGACATTTGGCATAATTGAAAGTATGCTATTCCATTTGACTTTTATACATAAAATGTGCATCTGCTTTATAAAATCAAATTCCTTGAAAATAAGGTAACAGCATCCTCACGCTAATGCAAATTCTCATTTAAAGTGGGGCTCCATTTTGCAAGCAATTGATGAATCTCACAGAAAGAAACAATCCCTTGGAACAAGCTCCCCTCTGGTTTTCAAAAGGAAGGAAGGAGCTGGGGAGGAGCATAGTTTTTTAATGTAACACTCCTTCATTATATAGAATTATAATGAATTATTTAGGGATGTGAAAATATGGGCAATAGCAATCACTTACGACTTTGCATGTGATTCCTTTTGCCTTCAATTCAACTTCTTATTACAAATAAAATTTAGTTCTGCCCATTATTTACATATACACAGAACTCACACCTAGAAACTTTTTTCATTCATTGTAGTTACTACTGAAGTTTAAGTGCAGAGCTTTAAACTTTAGTAGTAGTTTTGTTGTTATTGCTTTAAATAAATTAATGTTCAAGTGGCAGTTTGATGAACTAAATTGAGTTCACTTGGCAACTGCAACATTTATTTTGCCTGGCCTAGTCTAATAGAAACACAAATCCATCAGAAAGAACCACTTCAAACACTTGTGGCTAGCAGACAAGCTTCTACCTGTATCACTCCAGGACACATTTATCTTCAATGCTGCTGAACTATAAGACTAGGTTTCTTTGCTTTTTTGAACAAGTAACCCACAGACTGCACAGGGGAAACAAGCACATGCGAAGGGAGAGCAATCCTGTGCCTCCTGAGAGGGGGGGGGGCAACATGCACAGGTCCTAAAAATAAGCAAAAATTGTAATACTACTTCTGTTTGCCAGCACAAGCCATGACTGAGGGAGCTGTGCATTAGTACTTTTTTTTTGACTGATAGAGCATCCCAGCCCAGCTCTGGTTTTAATTTCTACTGTCACATGCTGGGATCGCAACACATAATTCAACTTCAGTATTGTTTTTTCTTCTAGTACAGCAACATACCAACTTGCACTGCACCAGGTTCTCCTCGACACTTCGCCTGCAAGGTGTAAGTTGGATGATCATTTCCCCAGCCTCCCAGGCCCTGTGCTGTCCCCTTGTCCCTACCAGCACCCTACCCCGGCTTCCCCTGCCACCTACCCAGCTGCCACTAAGCCATGGCTAAACCATGACCGCACCGTGGACAGAAGGGCTTGCAAAACTCTTACCAAATGCACACCGCAAAGGGTTGGTATTATTACCACCACTGTTAGGCTTATATGTATATATCACTTTTTCCTGTACTCTTCTGCCTTCTTCAGCATCTCTTGCATTTTGATTACTGCTGTACATCTGTGTTCTACTGAGGTACTCTAACAATAAACCACGATGGCACAATTTCTCTTTTGGTGAGCTCATAAATCACTAAACTCCCTCAAGTGATCCAACACACAAGTATAACAGCTACTTGTTTTCCAGCAGTTGCTTACCTGCTCTTGTAGGAAAGGGCTGGACAAAACCAGATACCTCTGGCTTGTGGGTTTCTGACCTGTCTGGAGAAAACATCCCCTAAGGGGAATTCTGGGCAGAGAGCACGTTATAAAACTACCGTCTTGAAGGACGACAATCCTCTTGCCCTTTTAAAAAGTTTCTTGTTGCCAGCTCAAACTTATGTCCTTTAATTGCACATCACTGGAACAGAGATTGTGTCAAAATAGTAAATAACAGTTTAATTTCATTTTACAAATCTTTTTTTTCCCCTAATGTCAGTAATCCCTTTCCTGATGCCTGATTCTCCATCACATTTGTAGCAGACTTCTTGATACTGCCCCATCCTGGTATATCACAACACAGTAGCAGTTCACATTTTTCAAAGACAGTTTTGCCAGAGGTTATGATGCCAGATTTTACTATTAAATAATTCTAATTCAGTCAAGCACATCCTATTCTCTGAGAAACACTCCTGGAACAACAGATTTTACACTGTAAGACCAGAAGTTCTGGTTCAGAAATTTCGACACAGCGAAGACTAAGAAAAGCATTAGGATACAACCTCTAATAAAAGAATTAGGATTATAGTAAAGGCAACGGACCACACACTCTTAAATCTTCTCTGGGAAGAGAAACGCTCAGCAAGTGGGCATGCTTGTAAGTAGATGACTGCCCTATCTGTTTAATGGCAGATATGATATCAGGGCAAAGTAATTCAAAATAAAAATACTACACACTGTGTGAGACACAGTCCTGGATCAGCAGACTTTCCATCCACCGCATAAACCAGATGGGATGTGAAGATCCATCCAACATTGCACAGAAAGAGAGCAAAGATAAAACAATAAAGGTAATAAAACAAAATCCGTGACAAAACCAAAGACCTGGTAGCAGATGGCTGCACATGGTTAGAATCCCAACCAAAAAATAAGCATGTTCAAATTATGTTCAGAGGAGTACTTTCAAACAAAGCTGGTGCTAAATTTTGCATGAGGAGGCAGCACACATGCTGAGTGAGGCTCTAGGACTCAAGGCTTCATTTTCTGTGTCACTGCTGAGAACAAAGACCTTGCTAAAATGAATTTACAAGCTCACGTGCTTGCACCGTACACATTTGAGAACATTCAGTGAAATGTGTCTTTTTCCTGTGACTTCACATAGATTATCCCAGGCCATCACATGTTTCGCACAGTGCCGCAAGGAGCGGATCAACCCTGTGCCTTTCCCTGTTCTGTTACTGAGAGGTTTTGCTCTGCCCGGCTCCCCAGGCACAGTAGCTCAGCTCCCCGCACCACCTCCACTAGCTCTTGTGCCTACCCAGGCACATTTATTTCTTATATATTACATTACATATACATTATTACATTTATTTAAGCAGCTATATAACTTTTAGTGCTTTTATAAAGGGTGATGCTTATGTAAGTCTTTATGTGTGATGCTTTCTCTTATTTATAAAGTGGGTAGTTAAAGGTTAGCTGCAATGTGCTTCAGAGAGCAAGCCAAATACACTGGCCTCAAATGCAAAGAAA